ACAGGATCACCTTTGACAAGGAGAACGTGCGCGACCTGTCCACCCCCGTGTCGGTGACCACGGCGGAGGGGGAGGAGGTGGCCATCGGCACGACCTTCATCCCCTCGCACATGCAGCGCGAGTCACTGGCCCGCCAGCTGGAGGCCACGCACGTGGAGCCGGCGCCAGCCGCGGCCCCGGGTCCCGCCTGCCACATCGACCCCGCGCTCTCCTGCCTCGACCCGGTGCTGGGCCAGGACCTGTGCCGCGCCAAGTGCAGCGTGTCGGCCGCCGCCACCGACGACGCTGCGGTGGCGGGCGTGGACCCCGCCATCGTGGATGCCGCCACCTCCGCGCACCAGGGGCAGGCGGCGAGGCGGGGCGCGGAGCCGCGCGCCGAGACCTACTCTGTGCCGCCCTGCGAGAACCACGCGCGTGCCGTGGAGCGCAGCCTGCGTGGCGAGTCGGGCTAGGGGGACCGGTCGACGGTGGGGATGGCGGACGGCCCCCACACGACAGAGCCGGACAGCCCCTGCACGACAGAGCAGGCTCGACGGCCGCGCACGACGCCGCCGCGCGCGACGATACGCGCGCGGCGGCAGCACCAAACCCCTGTAAAACACACCGCGCGCGCGACATTCGGCGCGGCGCGTGCACGCCATGAACCATACGCGCGTCCTGATTGGCCGGCGGGCATCGCCGCGCCCACCCTGCAACGCACCCGATCCCTCCATTCTTTTGCGGCGAGGCCTACCCAAACCGCTTTGTCCGACGCCCACTCGTAGCACTGCCCCCCCTCTCCCCCCCCTTGGAACGGGAGGAAACCCATGCAGAACCTAGCCCCGCCCCTTCCCCTTTTGTACATGTTGCTCCAACCTGCTCCGCCCAGTCCTTCTTGCCCACGCTGCTGTAAAGGCGCGTCACATCAGGGCCCGGCCGTCAGGCACAAGGCACTCCACCCCCGCGGCCCGCGCCGCGCCCGTGAGCGCAGCGCGCAGCTCGCCCAGCAGGCGCGGGTCGCAGCGAGCGGCGGCGGCCGCCGCCGAGCCGGGCAGGTCGGAGAGCAGGCCCAGCGGCGTGACCGAGATCCAGCGCCGCGACACCGCCCAGGAGTCGGTACCCTCCTCCTCGTCCCTGGCGGGCGTAGGGGTTGGGGGGGGGGAGGCATGGAAGCGGGGAGGAATGAGGCCGGGGCGCATACGGTCGCCGTTCCAGGGCAATGGTGTCGTTTGCCCGTCGACGGAGTGTGCATGCGCCCGAGACGCATGAAGCAGCATGGGAGGCCCCGAGCCGGAATGAGTGGGACATCCTGGCGGGACGGAGCGGCCAGGGGTGTGTCCTCTTTACAACCCAGCCAGGCAGGCCCCACCTTCGAAAGTCGCCGCCCACGTTGTTGAAGGCCCGCAGGACGACGCCGGGACCAGCCACGGCCAGCGCCTCGGCCAGGTCCACGTCCTCACGCGGCCCCGCCTCCGTGAAGAGCGGGAGCAGGCACTGCCTCCCCTGGTGCGCCAGGCAGTACCCCCGCGCCTCGCCCTCGGGCACATTGATGTTGAGCAGGTGGCCGGACAGGGGCTCCAGCAGGGATGCGGACCCGGGCAGCAGGCCCAGCACGGCCTGCCAGGCAGGGAGAGGGGCCGACGTCGGGCAGGTCTGGCCAAGGAGCCAGAGCTGTGCCCCGGGCGCTCAGGTGCATGCGTGCTGACATGGACGGGTTGCAGATGATGGGGGTCCTCATGACAGTGCAGCCCACATGCAGCCCACCCTTTTTACACACACACAATCACACTGACACACACAAACCTTGATGAGGACGACGCCGTGCCTGGCAGCTTGGGCGAAGCCTTCTATGCTACGTGCGCTGTGGTTGTCCAGCGAGAGCGCGATGGAGGGCACGCCCTTGCAGGCGGCCTCGCGCGCGGCGCCTACTGTCCCGCTGTAGATGATGTGCAGGCCGCAGTTGTCGCCACGGTTGATGCCGGAGACCACCAGGTCAAACTTGTTGTTCTGGGCAAAGACGGGGTCCGGGAGAGTTGGTGGGTGGCACAGGCCTGGCCACTCGGGCCCCCTTTTGCAGTCTGCCCGTCAGCGCATACCTTGAGCAGGGGTCCGTAGAGCGCCAGCATGACCGAGTCTGCCGGGGTGCCACTCACGGCCCAAGCCTCCTCCGCGCCTGGCACGGAGATTGGGAAGGCATGCAGGGGGTGGTGGATGTTGATGGAGTGGCTCTGGGCCGAGCGCTCCCCGCTGGGGCCGCAGACGCTGAAATCGCAGAAGTTCTCCTGGTGCAGCAGCGTGGCGAGGGACACGAGGCCGGGGGCCGTGACGCCATCATCATTGCTGATCAGGATGTGAGGGCGCAGTGGGGCCATTGCGAGCGGGGTGGGCCCCCGGGTCCCCTGTTTAGGCTCGGAAACTGAATGCTCCTCGAACGGACTGTGTCTAATTCACAAGACCTAATTGGTTTAGTATAGACCCTCGGAGCTCGCTCCTTCATCGTCTGGAGTATTGGCTAATGCTTTCGGTGCTGGAGATGCTCGACCTCCGGAGTCACGTGAACTCCGGTGCTCGCCTCCTTTTAAATCGGCGGTGGGTGCCGTACGCATGTATCGCCATTGTGGTCCTTATCAGCCTCTCCATCAAGCAAAAAACTAGTAATGACATTGTGACTCAGTAATTAAGTGGAATGTCGCCTCACTCCCTCCCAGCGCTGCTCGCACAGAGTGCCGGCATGCGCATCGATCTGACGGCAGTGTTTGACATGGTTAGTTGAGTGAGGGGGGATGATGCCTGTCGATGCATGCGGGCATGGCATTCCAATGAGCATGCCATCAGAAGTCATCCCTACTCATGCCCCATTCCACACCAGGCCAGCGGCTTGCTGAACGCTCAGGCACACCTGTCGCCCGATCAGCGGGAAGTCTGCATGAAGATCGTGAAGAGGTAAGGCGCCGAGACATTGAGACAGCAGTGAGCTGCTGTGGCTTTAGGGCGTTAGTAACCACAGCTTCTCACGAATAGGCTGCACGAGGACTTCTTCCCGGATCGCAAGGCGAAACTGGTGGACTCTGTGCGTGCCTCCCTGGAGCAGACTGCGAATTTGGCAGTGCTGGTCCAGGCTGCCGAGAGCAGCAGGGAAGCTGTGTTTATATTCAGCTCAGACGCCAGGCAGGTCGATTGAGGGATTGCTTGTTTGTTTCTATAAGCTATTGCAACAGCTGGAGACGCTGATGCTGGGGAGGGTGCGGCAATGTCACCTGAACACCATGGGATGCCAGATGATGGACAGGAACACATGCCAGCAGGAAGGAGCGTACACATCAGCGCAGGCCTGAAAACGCTCCATCCCATCGAATCCAGCAGGCTGTTGAAGCAGACATCCGTTGGGCGACTCAAGCCTGCTCCTCAGTATGCAACACATTGCTTGCATGCAAGCAGCAACGACTGGTTTCAGGCCCGCTGCGAACTCCAAGCACTCATTCCAGACCTGGCGAGGAAGAGTGCACGCTTGCTGTGCCTCAGCTCCCCCAGTCAAACTCGATCTGTGGCCACGCCCCTGCCACACCAGCCCCCTCGCGCCTCCCTCCAGCTCAGCGTGGAGCCCGGCGACACCGTGCGGGCGGCAATCTTCCTGTCTGACAACACGGTTGACTGCCAGCTGGCTCGGGCCCTGCACAGTGTCCAGTCCGCGCTGACTGCCGCCAGGATGCGGCAGGGCATGTGGGGGAGGGCTACCGCAGCCAGCAGGCGGAGGCCGCGCGCTGTGCACGCTGCGCACCTGGCGGTGCAGGTGACCGTGCCCTGCAGGCCCCTGTCCCAGGCCATTCATGCAGGCGGCGCTGCTGCGGCTGCCGCTGACGCGGCGAGGCAGGCCAGGCGTGCGAAGCAGGCTGAGCTGGTCCAGGGTGTGGTTGCCATCCATGAGCAGCTACACAAGGCGTGGCTGGAGGCCAGGTAGGCAAGGCGGGGATCGCATCCCTGGCATGATGGTAGGAGATGTATGTTTGTTTGCTGTGAGGCTCTCCCTTGATAGCACCTGATGGCAGACAGCCTATACTAGTTGACCCTGTGGTCACATTTTCTCGATGCAAATGGGCCGCTCGCGGATTCCTGTACATCAACTTTTATGCTCTGCTGCTCATGTCCCTTTCTCCAGGATCCGGGCTCAGAAGGAGCGTCTGGCTGCGCTGCGATCCAATGACATGGCCGCATATGTCGGGCTGGTGGCTGTGGCGGGGAGCTCGCAGCTGGACAAGCTCCTGTGCCAGACGGATGCCTGCCTGAGGGCACTCACAGCCCGCCTGTCCAGCACGAGGGCAGTATCCTCTGTGGGGAAAGGCCTGGAGGGACCAGGCACGGACTGCAGTAAGTGTGGCTGCTGGAGCTTCCTGAGAAATGTGAAATGAGGGGTTGGTGGGCCCTGGGTAGATGGCATTCCGATCCGCTGACGGTGCTGAAGTGTCTTGGCAGGAAAGGTCTGTAGAGTGTCAGAGAGCAGCATGCCCTCATGAACTTACTCTATGACGCCAAAAGTGCCCCACATCCCCGTATGCTTTTGGAACAAAGGAGATCTTCCTGGTCCACCTTTCTCCACCCTTTTCCACCCCCTTCCCAGGGTCGAGAGGGGCGGTGCAGGAGAGCAGCGCCGATTGGAACCAGCTGGCCTGCCGCGTGCTGGCCACAAGAATCTCCGAGCAGCCTGCCGGGCTGATTGGAGACCGGCTGTGGCCTTACCAAATGCAGGGGTTGTGCTGGATGGCCGGCCTGGCCCGCCACAGCCTCAATGGCATTCTGGCGGACGAGATGGGGTTGGGCAAGACGGTGCAGGTGGGGCATGGGAGGGGCGGCTGAGCGAGACTCGCGGGTGAGGGTTTCGCCCTCATGCGTAGACAGCAGGACAATCATTGGCCGGCCCCTGCTGAGAATCATGGCCCTCGCCGTGAAACCATATCTGCAGGTCATAGCCCTGATGATGCACCTAGTGGAAGCGGATGCTGCCTGCCTGCCTTTCCTCATCGTGGTCCCAGCCTCCCTCGTGCCCAACTGGCAAGCTGAGCTGCAGCGGTGGGCGCCCGGGCTCAAGACCGTAATCTATCGTGGCCCAGCCGCCGAGCGGGAGGACATTTACAATCGCCAGGTCAGACTGAGACGCTGGTGGCCTGGGTCTGAACGCTTGAACCCTGTCGTGCTGACAGTAAGTGACTCAGGGCCATCAGCATCAGCCGGCCAGGATAGCCACTATACCATTCACAGGGCATGTGTCAACTCCGCATCACCATGAGCTAGCACTCTCAATCCACCTTTCAGATCCAGCGTGGCGTGAGGCGGCCTGGAACATTCCACGTCGTTGTGACGACCTATGAAATCCTGATGGGCAAGCTCGATAGGTACAGGCTTCAGGGGTCGAGAAGATTGGCTGTGGACCGCATCGTGCATGAAATCATGCCGCCAGCTTGGACTTTGCATACTGTTGCCATCCTCATCTGGTCAGGCTTCACCCACCCCTTCTATTCCCAATCCCCTACACCACTCCCAAGGCCAAGACTGTCCTGCATACGGTGGTCCCATGTCATAGTGGACGAGGGCCACAGGCTCAAGAACGCCGGGTGCAAGCTGAACGCCGAGATACGGCAGTACAAGTGTGATCACCGCCTCCTGCTTACTGGCACCCCCCTCCAGAACGACATCTCGGAACTCTGGTCCCTGCTCAATTTCCTGCTGCCCGACCTCTTCAACAGCTGCGAGGATTTCCAGACCTGGTGAGGAGGAAGAATGCGATGCAGCCTCTGGGCAAAAATTTGTGGAGTGCAAATGGCCAGAGAAGACTTTGCTGCATTACGTGGGCCATTACCTGATCAGAATCTGAAGGGTAAGCATGTCAGAATGGTCATGTCTGGATGTATGTTCCAGAGACCCTCTATGAGGCATATGTCTTACCTATGCCACACACATTCCAAGCATCGCTGACCTTCAGGTTTGGAGGTGCCCCGCGGTCAACCACCCATCCCCCAGACCAGGAGGGTGATGAGTCGGCCGCTCTGCTGACTGAGGAGGAGCAGCTGGTCGTCACCAGCCGCCTGCACCAGGTCCTGCGGCCTTTTGTGCTCCGGCGGCTGAAGGAAAGCGTGGCAAGCCAGCTCCCAGAAAAGGTGGAGTTCTGAACAGAGGATATGCTGGGGAACAGATTCTGATTGTCATGTTACGTTCAGCAAATCCACACAGGGAATGGGTGTCGCTCAGTCCCCACCACCACTGCAGATCGAGGTCCTGGTGAGGTGCCCCATGTCGCCCTACCAGCAAGCGCTGACAAATATTATTGCTGAAGGGACCAGAGCAAGGCCAGGTACAGGGAATGGTGGAGAGCAATTCAGGGCTTGCCTTTGTCCATCATCGTCAAAGTTGTCAACCTTGGCAATGTCCATGCAGGTTCCCGGATGCTCCATTCCGTGGAAATGCTGTGCGAGTGTACCCCACAAATCTAGCCTTCTCAACACCTCGACCCGCAACCTCCCATGGCTCTTAGGTGGAGGCATCCAAGGCGTTGCCGGCGTCAACAATGTTGTCATGGAGCTGCGCACCATCTGCAACCACCCCCTGCTCAGGTTTGCGAGTCACACGATTCCCTGGCCCTGCCAGCGGTTGTCGGGGAGGTCATGCCTTGCTCCTCCAAACACCGTGCTCTCTTCCTGTCAGAACTGCCGCAAAATGTTCACTCATCACCCGTGCCTCAACCCTGTGGACCCCTCACAGCCGGCTGCACGTGCCAGGCAGTGAGTGCGAGTTGCCGGCTTCAAACCTCCCGGCAGAACTCCGTCTGTGCGGGAAACTGGCGGTTCTGGACCGAATTCTGGGCAGGCTCAAGGCCGCAGGGCACCGGGTGAGGCGTGAGGGTGTTGCTAGGGTTGGGGAGTGGCGTCCGGTGGGCTGTTTGGCGCAAGAAACTTTGGTTGTGCACCTGCAATTTCCCATATGCTGTGACAATCACTCACTCTTGCACAGGTGCTCATCTTCAGCACGATGACTCGGGCCCTGGATGTGCTGGAGGAGTACCTGAACTGGCGGGGGTACACGTGGCAGAGGCTGGATGGAAACACGGGCGCACAGGAGCGTGGTACAGAGGTGGCTGCCTTCAACGCCCCTGGTGGGTGATACAGTCTCGCGCTTGGCATCTGTGCATGCAGATGCCAAGCGATGTCTTCTGTCAATCTGTAGGGAAGGGTTGGAGTGATGATCGCATCGCCACCACCAGCCCTGCACATCAGGATGCCGCATGATCTGTCATCAGCATCACTCCCTCAATCTCATTCTCCCTTTCCAGGCTCCAGCACGTTTGTCTTCCTGCTCAGCGTGCGGGCAGGAGGCGTGGGCCTGAATCTGCAGAGCGCTGACACCGTCGTGATGGTGGGGCAGGGGATTGGTGTGGCTGAACCATGCTTGGTCAGTTTGGGTGGGCACATTGGTAGCCCACTGCATTGCATGGGCAGAAGTACCTCCCGCTGCAGGATGGCGGCGCCTCACATGCCAGCCAAAGCACCCTTTGTCACTGCAGTATGACACGGACTGGAATGCTCAGATCGACCTGCAGGCCCAGGCCCGAGTGCATCGGCTCGGCCAGACGAAAAAGGTGTAAAATGGAGCGGTGAAGGCGACAGTACTTGGCGCACCGGTGCACAGGGTTATTCTGGTCGTCTGCGCTGTGACTATCAGCATCCTGGCCGCATGCCAAACTCAGGCTGCTCCCGCCCTTGATCATGCTTCGAGTCCGCAGGTGTTGGTCATCCGCCTCCAGACTGCGGGCTCTGTGGAGGAGCGGGTGGTTGACGTCGCACAGAGCAAGAGGACGTTTGTGGACAGATCCATCACCTGTATGTGGGAGAACGTGGGATAGGAGATTGTTCAGGGTCACGGATGAGATGCCTCAGACTATTGACCAGATCCCTTGCCCTTGACAACAAAACATGTCAGGCGGATTCTTTGACGGCAAGACCAGCGCCGCAGAGAGGCAGCGCCACCTCCTGGAATTCATTGCTGCGTCTGCTGACAGCAGCGGCATGGCTGGCACTAGAGACGGTGGCGCTGAGATGACTGACGAAGAGGTGAGATCCATGGTCTGACTGAGGTTCTGGAGTGCATGCGTATCGGAACTTTCAGGCAGTGCACATAGCTTCACACTCTCAGCCCTTCCACCGCTTCCGCCCCCATGCGGCAGCTGAATGGGCTGGTGGCCAGGGACGAAGACGACCTGGCAGCCATGGCTGGCATCTCCGCCCCAGCCTCCGTGCTGGCAGATGCAGAGGGCGTTTGGGGCATGGTGGCAGCTGCCCAAGACGCGGCCACTCCCAAGGACCCCGATGCTGGTGCGTGGTCTGCAGTCAGGGCGCAGTGACAACTCTCAGCTCTGTCGTATAGTCCAGCAGGCCCCATGCGTCCCGACCGCCAAACTCGCGCCAATACTTTCCTTTGCAGGCCGCGAGTTTGGGAGGGGGGTGAGGCACCGAGCGGCGGCGTTGGCGGCAAAACCTCTCAAGAAGAGACCACGGCGAGAGTGAGTCTGCCCATGGCTTTTGGAGTGATGGTGGGAGGTAGCTGGCTCACAAGTTTAACTTCTGTCTGGAGAGTCCATGTGTTGAATGGACCCGTGCCCATGCCTGCCATCCTCAGGAAGTCGATCTCGGAGTCCCTACTCATGTCTCAGTCCTCGACTTGTTACATCCCCAAACCACGCAGTAGGGGCCAGAGCAACAGGGTCGCACACGAGCAGTGACTGCATGGCAACGTCCCTCGGAGGCGGCTGGCCTGACCCCTGTCCCAGCACCAGCGCGCTCTGCAACCCCCCCCCTCCCCTGTCCCCCACAAACCTCTCACAAGAGTTTCATCCAGGCACTGCAGACAGATCTTACTCGCTCAGCACCATGACAAGCAAGTTCACTCAGGTGTGGGTGCTGGTGTTTGGTCACTTCATGCGTCGGGGCACGTGGCGATGCTCCAGGAGCATCGCAGCGCGCACTTCCTCCGCGTCGCTCGCCGTCGCTCCGGTCCGCGGCGCCACTCACGCCTTGGGCGCCCCGCCGCCGCCCTCCTGGCGCAGCAGGGGCGCGATGAGGTCCAGCTGGTCCCGAACCCCCTGCGCCAGGTGGGTGGCCCGCCGCGCCGCCGGCCCCAGCCCCCGCCCGGCCCGGGGCGAGGACCGGCCTGGGCCCGACGTCCCCTGCGCCAGCCAGACACGCGCGACGGCGGGGCCGTCCCTGGCTCTGGCGTTGTCCTGGGCGGCGCTGCTCGGCCCATTGGAAGCCTCGGCGCGCGGAGTCTGGGGCCCCTCTGCATTTGACACGGGACCGCCCCCCGTGCGGGCCTGTGCGGCGGCCGCGGCGGGGATGGACGCCGCCTCGCCGTCACCCGACTCCCCGCTCGAGCGCTTGGCCGTGCCAGGCCTCTGCTCCGCCAAGCTCCTGCCGCCATCCGCCCCCTCCGTCACCGTGCCCAGCTGCCGCCCCGCCTCGAACCCCAGCTCTGCGGCCGCCAGCTCGCCCGAGGTCATGGCCTCCAGCAGGCCCGAGGGCGCCGACAGCGACAGCACCGGCAGGTTCAGGCTGCCGCGCGCGGGGGCGCGGGGCCCCGCCCCGCCCCGCGCCAGCGTGTCCAGCTCGCTGGCGGCGCCGATGCGCGGCAGCACCTGGCGCGAGGTCAGCATGCGGCGCAGATGCAGGGGCAGCGAGCTGGCCAGCGCGCGCGCATTCACCCGCATGCTGTGCATGTTGTCCACGTACCTGGGGGGTGGGGTGTGGGGAATGGGAGGTGTGTTTCTCGTGAGCAGAGGGTTACTGGGAGGAAGAGGGTCGGGAAGGCAAGGAGGCTGGGCAGCGGGTACCACGAGCATATATGACTGACAGGCCGATGCAGTGCCATTCAAGCAGGCGAAGGCTGCCGGTGAATGATCAACGACCAAAATCTGGGTCAATGCCGCGCCCTATCCCGTGGCTACATGCCCCATCACAGGCCGGGACCACCCGAACAAAACTACTCCCGAGCTCACTGGTCTGTCTCGTCCACGATCTCAAACTGGAGCAGCTCCTCCAGCACATCCTCGATGGTGATGATCCCCACAGGCTCCAGTTCTGAGCGGGTTCACGTGGGTAAGAAAGGTGGCGAGAGGGCGTGTGAAGGCCCTGCCAACATGCGGAGGCAAGGACGCTCACCCAGGTGGTGACATCATCTCGCCATCCCATGTCCACAAGACAAGCAGGTGCCCGTGCTCGGTGACGCCCTCCAAGTTACCCTGCAGCCGGCAGGCAAACACCCCTTCCAACGCACCCGACAGCTGCCAGTCGACGAACAAGTCCTTGTCCCGGTTCTCGCCTGCCGCCTGGCTGGCCTGCAGGATGTGGGAGGAGGTGGGGGCGGCCTTTGATGCGGGATGCAGCGCCGAGTTCGCCAGTGCTTCTGGACGCTTCAAGGCCCACGGCGCACGCAGCTGGGCCCATCGACATTGCACGACAGTGTCAATGGCAAGCCCCCCATCAGCCCGCCCCTGCACCCACACCCTCGCCGGCCCTGCACCCACATCCGACAGGGTGTCCGAGCTGTCCGAGTCATACATCAACTCCTCGCGCTCGGCGCGGGCGGCCGCGCGCGCCGCCCGCGCGGCCTCGGTGGGCCGAGACAGGACGGCCATGTGGGTCCGGCCGATCTTGAACAGCTTCAGCATGTCGTACATGGGCGTCTCTGCCAGGTGGAAGCGGGGAGTGCATGTTTCCTGGTGGGGCGATGCTGTGCGGCACCAGGTGAAGGCCTGGATGGAGAGCCTGGAGCCCAGACAGCGGCGTGCTCCCCCTTGAAAGCTGCATGGAATCCGACAGCAGGTGCCACACCCCGCAGCACCCGCCCCACTCAGTACACGTGGCACAGACAGCCTGCGTGCCAAAACGCCCTTGGCGCACTCCAAGCCCCAGTCCTCCCTCGAGCCCAGCGACTCAGGGCCCCCACCCCCCGCCACCCGATGAACAGCGACGCACTGGCCAGGAGGTAGGGCAGGGATCTGATCTTCAGCTCCCCCACCAGCCGGGTCTCCGACCCGCTCAGCTGCACCAGCTCCTTGGCCAGAGCAATGCCCAGAATGTGGTTCCTGGGTGGAGAGATTGAGGAAAGCGGGGAGGAGGGGTCTCGGGCCGGGTGTCCAGGCGTGCCGACCCATTGCTCCACCCATGTTGCTTATTCTTGGAAACCTCCCCCTTAACCCCCCCCCCAACACAAAGCATCTGAGCCAGGCATAACCCATACCCCACCTCCCAACCTCCCCTTCCCACCCCCTGTTCCACCCGCGAACCTGTTTCCCGCCCTGAAGACGGGGATGCGGGAGTGGCCCGAGGCCAGGATGGCGGTCTGGGTGTCGGCGTCTAGCACCGCATCGGACGACAGCATGAACACCAGGTCCAGGGGTGTCATGGCCTGATCCGCGGTCTTGGAGGTCAGGTCCAGCGCGCCTTTGATGATGCCCACCTCGTCGGAGCTGAGCTGGCCGCCAAAGGTCTGGCCCTCGTGGTGGATGTCCACCAGCGCCTTGAGCTGCGCGCGCTTGAACAGCGCGGTGCGGTGCGCGCCCAGCAGGCGGTCCAGCACCCAGCCGATGGGCCAGGCCAGGGGCGCGCAGAGGAACATGAAGACGTGGACGAAGGGCGCGGCGGCGGCCCCGGCCTCCAGCCCGTAGCTGGAGCACACCGCCTGTGGGATGATCTCGCCGAAGATGAGCACCACCGTGACGGAGACGATCACGGCGGTGATGGGGTTGGCCAGGCGGTCCAGGTACAGGGGCAGCGCCTCGGCCGCCAGACTGTTGCCCAGAAGCAGTGTCACCAGCAGGCGGTGCGGGTTGCGCAGCAGCGGCATAATGGCCGCGGCGGAGGCCTGCTGGGAGGGTGTCCCCGTTCTACGTAGGATCTGAGGTGGGGGGTGGGGAGGGGAGGGGAGTCTCCTGAAGGTCATGGTTAACTGCTGCTGCTGCTGCTGTGTGTCTATGTGTGTGTGTGTGTGTGTGTGTGGACAGGGGGTCCTGGGGATAATAGACACAGGCTGACACATGCGCCCAGATTGAAAGTACCTGCGTCGATATGCAGTAGACTGAAAGGCAACGGCAGGGAGGCCACTTCCCCGCCCATTGGGGCTCGTCCTGCACAACCCCTTCACCATGCAAATCCCAGTCTATCGCAGGCCTAGACATTGGCACCCTGCAAACACCCCCCCACCCACCTCCAGGTCCACGCTGTCCAGGGACATGAGGCCCAGGGTTAGGCCAGACATGAGGCCCGCCATGAGGATGAGGAAGACCACCATAGCGACATAGTACCAGAATAGGAAGGCGCCCTCCTGTTCTTTCCCCACGGCAAGCTCCTCGACGGTCTGAGACAGTCTACAGGACGTAGTTAGCGGAGGTGAGGCAGTGGGAAGGGGAGGGAAGGAGAGTGGATGTGCTACATGCAAGGTCATGCTGCCCCCCCTCTCAGCCAGCGGGCACACCTGCGAGTGCGAGCAATGCCCATGGCGAGGCCCATCCCCTGCAGCAGGAGAGGGCGCATCCTGCTTTAAATATGCCTAAATTTCCGGTACGATCCCATGTGCAGCCCCGGCATGGGTGTGTGAGACGGTAGGGCTCCACTGCGGGACACCCTCGCGGCGGTCGTCGGACGCAAATAAACTCTTGGTGAGCGTTACAAGGGTACCATCACAGGCTCCAATTTATGCATGCTCGTGATGATGCTGTCAACCCCTCACACAGTTTCCCATCCCCTGCAGTACTGTTATTATGCTGAGCGGGTCTTGAGGAATATGCGGAATGCCCACGTGCGGAAAGTCCCCAACTCTCATCATCCATCATATGCTGCTTGCCCAGCATCCCGGGCTGGGCAGGCCAAACCTAAGGTCACCTGGGTGTCTTTGTTACCATCACTCTTCCTTGACAGCAATGTGCGCAGATGCACCAGCATGACGACGCTGCAGCCAGGCAGACATCAAGGCCAGGGCGCCAAACCCCAGGCCCAGGAGGATTGCCCGGGCGTCGTAAAGATCTGCAAGGGAGTTCATGCTGGATAGGCGCGTTCCGGCACCCACTGCCACAAAGTTGTTGGGCATGCACCCCAGCAGCGTGCCTGGAGGGGAGGGGAGAAGGCAGGGAGGGGTTGAGCTGGACTGCTATGATCACAGAGTAGTGGTGCTGGCCTGTGCTCTTGCAGCTTGCCTTCTAGGACCACTTTCTCCTATCGTTCACCTCTCCACAAAGCACTGATCACCTAGAGGTCAGGGCCAGACCCCTCTCTTGGCATCCCTTGCGGTGGCCCAAACCCATCACCACGCCCCACGGCACAGTGGCAACCAACCAAGGGAGAAGGGCCAGACGGGGACGCCGGCCAGGGGCGAGGCCACATTGATGAAGGTGTTGGGGAGGAGGGGAGTGACGCGCAGGAAGATGACGTAGGGGAGGAGCTGGCCGCGGCGGGCGGCGACTTCCGCCGCAAAGCGCTCGGTGCGCAGCGGCCACAGCGCGCGCACGATGGGCCTGCCGATGAGCAGGGACAGCGTGTAGCAGGACAGCGCGCCCAGCGTGCTGATGCCTGCAAAACAATGCCGGGAAGGGTTGGAATGATGGAGCGCGGGGGGCGAAAGGCGGGAGGTGCTTGATGCAGGCCGGTTTGAGCGTGTTGAATGAGGACTGAGCGGGGAATATAGCATGGCATGAGGCAGCCCACCGGGATCCTAGTACTGCATGCCTGGGTTAGATCCCGCACCCATCTCGCTCCTCACCCGAGACCAGAGCCCAGCCCCTCCAGTGCCCATAGATGGCCCCCGCCAGGACGCTCAGCACCAGGGTCCCCGGGATGGCCAGACTCTGCATGACCACATAGGCCATGCAGAAGCACACTGCCACGATGCCGGGAGAGGTGGCTGCGTAGCGCAGGATGATCTCACGCTGCTCCAGTAGCGTGCCCAACGTGCGGGGGGGAAAGCTTTTCAGTATAGCCAAGTCCTCTGCCTGTGTGTTCGTGAATGGGGAATCGTTGTAGGAAGCATGGCTTAAAAGGGGCAGTTAAAATTATAATGGGAAGCCGTCCCTGCAAAAACCTCATGAACTGGCAGCACCACAAGGCGGTAAGGGGGCAGGAGCGTCCCCCATAATCTCACCGAGAGGGCTGGGAGGCACCAGGTGAGGGGCACGAGGGAGAGCAGCAGCACTGCCAGTAGCGCAACACCAGCTAACAGGCTCCTTCGAGCCTCCCTCCATACCCTAGCATCGTCGCCACTCTCACGGTCGGGACCTCCCGACGCCATGAGGGTGTCGCGATGCCGTAGCACTGCCCTGCTATCGCATGTTTTGTGCTATGGGTTTCTCAAACAGGTCCGCCCTACTCCATCACTCTTTCGCAATGATTCTGCTGCTAATTCATGCACCCTGCTGATCGAAAAGTGCAATATGCCAAGTTTTTTCAAATTCGGAACTCCATATACCGGAATCAGGGTTTCTTGGTGATTGAAGGAGGTCATGCGAATAAATAATAGGGGCACCGGACTTGAAGAGCTCGACCTGTGAAATGCCTGCAGGGTCCTACATTCAGCAAGATATGCGTACATCAAAGATGAATTTAGGCCAGTCCTCGAGAGCGAGACTCGCGATTGAAGATTCCAAAGGAAGCCTGGAAGGATGTGTAAACAAGTGCACCTGGGCGTTGACTATTAGAACTTATTACTGAGATCCAGCACAAAGATGACAGTTCAAAATACTGAGCTTCTAGATTCAGGCAGGAGATGGGTCGTTCGCTTTTGGAGAACTTTCATGCCTCCTTACCTCCAAGCACCATGCTGTAACGGGGAAACCGAGCAAGTGGCCCGGGCTCAGCAGAATGGCCGTGGCCTGCGGTAACATTGCATGACACAGGTATATACTTGCCTTCATATTAGCTCTGTTGTGCCTCGGGCGTAAGCGGGCCAGATACCCCTCTTTCGTTGTTCATTCACATGGCGGCCTGCTTTCCTCTCGTTGCGCGTCACATGGATGGTCTGCTCGCATGCGGAATTCGTCACACGCCAGCGAAGCATACCCTCCGAGTTCTGGGCTAGCTGATGCCATTATAATGCTCTGGAGTTTGTCCTGCGCCCTTCCCTGACCGGGATCCCCTCGGACCTGCTCACCGTCCCACCGGCTCTAGTGCCTGGGCTTGCTCCTCCATCCGGCACCATGTACGGCAGCGCAGGCGTGCACTCCAATCCCAGCGGCATGCTCCTGTCGGGAGGAAGCTTTGGTCGGAAAAGTGAGCGCTCCAGGGCCTCGGTGGTGTGTGTCTGTGATGGTGCCCGTCACTTCCGGCGGTTCGCGGCGTGTGTCACATCCCTGTATCTTCATCCCCAGTCGTGCTACCATACCAAGCCCTCAAACCCCTCATCCCTCCCCCTCTTCCTGCACCCCCTTCCCCAGGCCAGGCGCTCTGGGCCTCCGCCGGCCAGCTGGTGTCCATGGGCCAGGCCGGGCTGGGCCTGGTCATCATGCTCCTCTCCTGGCTCTTCTTCTACGAGTTCACGGAGGCCACGGGCCTGATGCTGGGCGCGGCCATGCTGGCCGCGGGCGGCGTGGGTTGGGTGGGCGGCCGTGCCCGCTCCGCCAACCTGAGCAATCTGCACCTGCTGGCCACCCTCCTGGCCCTCCTCCTGTCCTTCAACTTCATCGGCCAGGTGGTGCGAGAGGTGCACGTTGACTGCGGCCTGGCCGAGCTCTTCCTGCAGGGCCGCATGCTGGAGGAGCGCGTGACGGCGCTGCGCCAGACTGAGGCCATGCACACCGTCTACTCCCGCCTGAACGAGATGGAGGACATGCTGACGCTGGTGCAGGAGGGCGCGGCCAAGACCCTGGAGCTCAAGGGCGAGCAGGAGCGGCTGCGCCACACCGACGCCGCCTACATCGGGGCCAAGCTGGACCTGCTGCGGCGCCACGCGCAGTCGGCCCTGGACAACATCCTGTCCAACCCCAACCTGAACGAGACCGTGGTCAGGGTAGGTGATGGGTTGTGCAGGGGTGGTGACTGGGTGGGTGAGTGAGTGTGGGTGTGCGGTTGGGGGGTCATCGACGGGACAGAGGGACAGGGTCTGTCTGGAAGTCACCTTTGGTAGACAGGTGTTCTATAAGAGTCAGCAGACCACAGGCAAGGTGCAGCCTGGCACACCAGGCCAGGCCTTATTGACCGATGCATGAGCATGACGACGCACGCCCACGGTCTCGCTCCCCCCATCCCCTTCCGCCCAGAACCTGAATGAGGCAGACAAGGACTACCTGCGGAAGCGTCTGGACACCGCAGACAGGGTGGTGGCCCGCATCCAGAAGCACCACGAGTGCGTTGGGTGGATGTGTTGTGTGGGAAAGGAAGGGTTTGGGGGAGGGGGGTATGCAGGGCGGCATCCTGGGGAGGCCCCTGATCGCTGCAATCGTGTGGCGTGTCTGCCCCTCAGATCGAAAGTCTCACGCTCGGGGTGCGAGCCATGGCTGCCTTGCTTCCCTGCCTACCCCGCACGCCCTATGCACCCCCTGCCTCTGCGCCTGCAGCTTTGCATCCACCTCCACCACTCCCCACGCCCCACGGGCCCCCCCCCTCCAGCAACCCCTTTCTCCCCATCCCACCGTGCGCAGGGAGGACGGCCAGGACATCACGTTTGAGGAGTACAACGAGCTGCTGAGCGCGCTGACGGACGCCAGCGTCTTCGCCGACAAGCACGGCGACGGCGATCTGGTGCAGGCCCGGGCCGAGCTGCCCAACATGGCGGGGGCGCTGAAGCGGCGGCGCGATGATGAGTACCACCACCTGCTCCCCGGCTCGGCCCACAAGGACCTGGAGCGGATAAACGCACGGCGCGCGCGCTCGCGCGCCGAGTGGGAGCGCCAGCTGACCCAGATCCTGGACGCGCAGGCGCGGGCGGGGGCGGGTGGCGCCGACATGGGCACCCAGCTGGCGGAGCACTGTGTGCGCGAGTCGCGGGGGCATGCGATCACCATGGCGGCAGGCCTGCTGGCGGTGGCCGTGCAGCTGGCCTCCGCCTACGTGGCGCTGTCCCTCAGCATGCGCCTGCCCCTCAAGGGCGACTAGGGGTGGGGAGGATGAGGGGAGTGGAAGGGGGTCCTGGGGGATTGGTGAGGTGGAAGCTGACAGGTAAAGGGGCCGCCAGCGCCCCGACGGCGCTGCCACTCCCTCGTTGATACCATCCCAGGACAGACCTCTTCACCCTCTCCCAAGGAAGCCACCCCACCACCATCTACTGCGTTTCTGCTACCAAAACCCTCTTTCGTCTGTTGCTGACTGTGTTGCTGCGTTCTGTTGATGACCTGACCCTGCCGAGAGGCTGAACCGGACCCTCGTCCTCGTGTTTCCCTGATCCTCTTATTCATCGTGTGCACATGTTCCAAACTGTCACCGAGAATCATTCAGCTAGCTGCTAGAAAGAGGGGGTGCCAGATCACAGATTGGGTGCCTCATCATGGCAATATGACGACGCCAGGCCTGCATGCGACGGCACTGCGAGTACCTCCCAGCTTCCTTGTCCTCGCACACCTTGCAGGCATCCCGCCGCTGTGATATCAGCGGCCCGCACCTCCACTCCCTGACTCTGCACCTTCACACCCTGGCCTCCTCCCTGGCTCCCATGCCAGCATGGCATGCCCTGCACTCCTGCACTCCCCTCCGCTCATTGCGGGAGGTACACCTTGTGGCCATACTGCTCGTCGTACCGCCTGGTGTGCTCCAGCACGGCCTTGATCGCGTCGCAGGACCCCGGGTCCACGCCGACGCGCAGCGCCTTGTAGTCGCGCGCGCCCGCCCAGATCTTGTGCACCGCGCCGCGGACGTCCCAGCCTGCGGTCGTTGGGATGACGTGGGGTTTCATTTGGTGGACAGGACGGAGCATGTGGTCGTGGCCGCACAGCCAGACACAGGGCACAGGGGGAGAAGCCATGATGCACGCCTGCAGCAGTCCTGCGACACCCCTACAGGGGCTGTCCCGGACAGAACATCGGGCCAGGCTCACCATCTCCCTCCAGGGAGTCCAGGACGGTGGTCTGCACATGCCGCGCTTTCTCGGGGTCCACCTCCACGACCCAGGGCAGTGCCGCCAGGGCACCAAAGAGGGGGTCCATCTGCTGCATCCGCAGCTTCCACCTAAGCGCCGCGCTCTCCTTCTTCGCGGCCGCCGACTCCTCCGGCTGCTGTGTACACGGTTGGGGACGGGAATTGGGGATGTGCAGCGCAGTTCAAGCAGCCCAGCGGGAGTGTGCCAGGGGACGCTCGACATGAGCAAGCATGTCCCAACCAAACAGGTGAGCAGAGAGGACCTTTAACAGAGCATCACAAGCATCTCTGGCCCCTGCTATCCAGGGCATGTGCACAGGGTGTGTGCCACCCTGCAGACGCTCCATCCGGCCCCGTACCTCAGAGTCCCTGCTCAGGATATTAATCTGCTCCTCAGACATGGGGGGCTCCGGGGGCGCGCTCGACCTGGGCGCCGCCGCCGGGCGGGCTGCCTGGCCAGTCTGCTCCCTCAGACCCGCTGTCTTGCGCATCATGGCGCGCAGAAAGGCCGCCCGCCCGCCGAAGAACTCCCGGTCCTGGAAGCTGAAGCTGGGATCCACGCCCGCCCGCTGGAACAGGGCGGCGAGGTCGGCTCTCACGCTCTCCTCGCAGTCGGCCCCCGTCGTGCGCAGCAGGCCCCGCGCGTAGTCGATGCCCTTGGGCTTCCTGCAGCGGTGGTCCGCACATGCATTGAGAGTGAGGGACGGAAGGAGGGGTCCCGAGGATAGGCATGCGCAGGGCGTGCTGGCAGCGGCAGGCGGAGGACAATGTGCGGCAAGCACCCATGTGCAGTCCCCGAGGTGAACGTACTTGACGGCAAACTGGACCCTCAGGGTTTCCTTGGGTGGGAAGGAGGATGGCATGGACAGCCGGAGGCAGAAGCCCTGCAGCCTCCGTAGCATCTCCCGGTTCCCATCCAGGATGCTTGGTGGCAACTGGGGGTTGGTCACCACGCCCTCCAGATCGGACAGGGCGTCAGGCAGCGATCGCTGCTTCGCACCCTTGGAAGAGGGGGACACCAGGGAATCCTTGGCTTGGCGAAGACTGTCCAGGATGCGGCGGCCGATGCCAAGCCCGGAGTTGGGCCGGGTGCCCATCTCCCGGAAGCAGGCTGCCGGGCGTGCCGAGCGGGTAGCCACGGCAGCCAGCATTGTACCGATTTGAAGCTCTCAACTTGAATACGGTGTGGTGCTCCGTCGATCGACGATGTGAAGTGCCGTCGGGGAGTTTGCTGTATCAGTCGGTCGGCAGCGGGCAGAGGAAGAGCCCAAGCTGATGCAACGCATGCATCGAGAATATTCAGTCAGAATTTTATAACAGCAACTCCACTTTAATCTGTGCAGGGTTTGCTACAGGATCATGCAGAGGCAATACCGGCTCTGGCGCGCGCGTCCAGTCCTAACTGCGTGCAATGCAATCCACTGCCAGGACTAACCTCCCCTGCACGATCCGCAACTCCTGAAAGTCTGCCCTGCCTAGGGTCACAGACGGACAGCCTGTTCAGGCAAACAGGAGTGAGGTGGCATGCACCGTACTATAAAACAGAGTGCCCGCCAGCGGCACAAACTGCCCCGTCAGCAGCTTAATGGCCTCCTGACTGGCGATGGAGCCAATGATGGCCGCCACGCAGTGCAGCTCCGCCCCGCCCCATCGCACGAGTTCCGTGGTGGCATCCTCGGGCAGGTGGACGCCGGAGATCCCCGACTCGGCCAGGAGGCCCTGGGCGATGGCATGCAGCTGCGAGACCTCGCCCTCAGGGACCTCGCTGCAGTGAGGAATGGGGGTTGGGGGGGGGGCACCGTGGGTGACTTTGCGCAGCGTGCCGGACAAGACAGGTGCTCAACTCAATGAGGAGAGACTCTTAGCCTCAAACTGGTTTTGGGCCAAGTACTGCATACAGGGTAAGCTGTGCTTCTACTGACCTTCCCCAACCATCATCCCTCTCATCTCGCATGAATGGGGCCCCCCTTCCCAACCCCTGAGGCCCTTCCCACCTGCCGTGCAGCGATCCAGGGAAGCGCTGATGTGTCCTGTAGTATCTATCCGCAGCAGGTACCAGCACCGAGAACGCAGCCGTGCTCGCTGTGGCGTCCTCACTGGCCAGCGCCTGACGCAACGCGTCTGTCCCTCCTTTTTCTGGTTCTGTCCTCACTGGCAGGCCGTCTGGGTGCAGGGCGGGGCACCGAATGACTCTGGCAAGGGACATTGAGGGCGGGGCAAGTATAATTCTCAATTCTATGAGGGGTTATCTCTTGAGGGACATATTGGATCAAGGTATGTGGACCTGCTGCTTCTGCCTGATGGTGGGTGCCAGGTAGTAACATCTGGTCGATCCTCCTCACAGCCGTCCTTGTGGCCCGTCACAAGAGGGCAGGCAGCATTCTGTGTGGCACAACAACATCCGGCCATCCTCTCCAGCCTCCTCTCCTACCTGAGGCGCCGCGCATTCTTGCACACCGAGCGAACATATGCCGAGGTCACCCTGCTGACGCTGGCACCGGCGGCTCCAGCCACATCGTGCGCCAGCCCTTCGACTGCAAACAGGGGTGAATGTAATGGGCAACAAGATTTTGGCGCTGACGCTGTGGCACCATGGCAAAGCGCTGCAGGTCTGTCATGTTCTCACATGCCCGGCCCCGCAGATACATCCCGCCCGGCCCTCACCCTCTTGAGCGTCAGCCTCGGCCTTGGCTCGGTACAGCCGCTGCAGGGCCAGGAACTCCTGAGACCCAGCATGCATGTCAGGAATGTTTCCCTGGTGCGAGGTAGGAGAGAGGAAGAATTGGTGCTCGTGGGATAGGACCTTGGATATCGGGCGTTGGAGAGCTTTTCCATAACGCTAAGCGTCTCTCACAAGCCGTGCATGACCGACCATGCAGGCCAGGCTGTCTGCCACATATGTACCATTCAAACTGTGTTCTAGAGCCGTTGGGGCATGCCCCACCACACAATATACCTCCAGGGGCAGGGCGCCTGCTGCATTGGAGGCCACAAAGCGGCTCAGGGCCGCCACGCAGATCCAGAAGGGGGAGGAGCCGGCGCGGAGATGCTGGCAGGCTTCGTCCTGGAACAAGCGCACCAGCTCCGGGGCTGCAGGCAGCATGGAGGAGGGGTGAATGTCGGCGGGGGTGGCCTGAAGGGATTATGAGTCTCGCCCGCCAGGCATGATCGCGAGGCGCACTGCTTGATCCATTGAATCCATGCATGGACGCTGCAGCCAGCAAGCATTTCAAAGACACTGGAGGTCTCTCTGTGGATAGATGGCCCCCCCTCAAACATCCAGCCTGTTGTCAAACACAGACGTACTTGGAGCGGAGCTCCCAGACCACACTCTGTGCGCATTGGCGATCGCCTCTGTGATGTTTTCTTCCTGTGAGGGGGTGTCAGATTCTGTGAGTCGCGAGAAGGAGATGCACAAATTATGGGGAACTACTCCAATCAGAGGTTCATAAAGGGGTGCCCTGAAATCTGAGAAGTGTATAGATTTTGGCACCTGAGAGTACTATACATGTCCCAGCAAGCCGGATGCAACATGTAAACTGCCTAGAATACGTATCTCACCCAGGCAGCACCCCCCCGGCATATCCTTTACCTCAACGGGGACACCCTCAATGCAGCGCTGCAAGGATCGGAGGCCCTCCTTGAAGTCTGCCTTCTCTGCCGATGTACGAGGGAACGGTGCACCATGCGTCGCGGCCCAGGCTGCCGCCGCCCTGATGAGCAGGAGGGCATATGGGACGTGACCCCTGACGTGGTCATCCAGCAGGCCGGCATCGACTTGCGCCGCAGCCTCTGCCAGCTCTGGCCAGGGCTCGGTCAACCTGTCGGAGAAACGTGGTGTTGTGCTCGACGGCAGTGTGCGAAGCTGAAAGACACACGCTTCCCGTCCCTCCCCGCAAAACGAGTGGCAAAATGGTCCTTCAACCCCCCCCCCCCCCCCTTCCCCATCACCTCAGGTCTTCTATCGTGTTGTCTGGCTTGGACTCGACGACGCAGTGCTCAGCGACGCACACCTGGTGGGCAGCAGGACCAGGCATGGGCATGAGGATCCAAGCAGGATAAGCTGGCAGCATCGTGCTGAGACGATTCCGGGTGACCAAGGCCACACTGCGTCTCTCCAGGCAACCCATCGGCACAAGGAGCCCCAACACTGCATCTGAGGGGTCAGGGGCCCGAGGCCATTTGACCCTGTTCACCTGGACGAGTCCGACGAGGCCATAGGCCCGGCCCAGGATCAGGGGAATGCCCCTCTCGCGACACACAGCGTCCAGCGCTGCAGCGTCGCTACATCGCAGCTGCGAGAGGAGCTTGGGTGGGGATTCGTAAGTTTGTGCTGGGTGCCGCTGGCATCTGGGGATCCAAAAACAAGGCACACTGCGGGCACGTGGCTGTGAGTCTACTATGACATTTGGGCAAAGATCAGTCGCTGAATGCCTTTACAGCAGTACAAAGCAGTACAACAAGTACCTGGGCGCCGATGACCAGGTCGTACTCATGGAAGAAGGAGGGGTTGCTGGAGATGAGCTGCGCAGGCTCATCTACCACGTAACTCCCCCCTACGGCCTCGTTCAGCTCCTTGAGGCTGGCTGCACAATGGTGGGGGTTGTTCAGACCTTCAAGCCAGCCTAGCATGCGCTCAGCATGGGGCCAGGCAAGGATGCCAACACGCAGGCAGAACCACCCCAGCATGGTCCGGCGTACCTGTCACGACCTCCGCCCTAGGGCGCCCCAAGGCATCCTGGTCAATCATGAAGTTATTGCCCAGGTCCTGGGGTCCCACCCTCTCGCCATCCACCACGGTGAAGGATCGGATGCCTCCCAGCACCAAGTTTTTCAGGGCTTCAGCCCCGGTAGGTCCAGCATGCAGGAGGCACACCGAAGCCCTTTCCAGGGCGTCCTGGCCCTCCGCACCCCAAATGCGCATGCCCCTGTCATAGCGCACGCGCGATTCCCGGGCAGGGCTGCAGGTAGGGGCACCGCTGGAGGAGGGGGACCCAGCCTCCGCGGAGGCCATGAGGGCTGACTGCGATGCCAGCGTCGTCTTGCAGTAATAGATCTGCTCTATAAAGGTTGGTAAAAGCGAGTCATGACATGCCAGCGGAGTCCGATCGGCAGCATGGCCCGATGTGACTTCGGGGCGCGGATCAGTCTTTCCGTGCCCGGGTGCATGCGCCGCGCCCCAATTAATTTCAAAGCAGGTTGCATGGAGTAGGGACCCACACGAGTGACCATAGCGACTGACACTGAGCATGTGCACGGTCCTCGCGCAGGAGTCGACCAGGGAGGTCTAGAAGTGTCTCGCCCCCACCCGCGGATCACTTACTGGGCCCCTTTCGTACACAGCCATAGCGAGCTAAAAGCCACGGACATGGCTAGCGACAAGGAACTCGATACTCCAGACGACATAGGGAATACCGAGGACCTGACACCATCGGACATTCTGGATGGCTGGGATGAGCTCTCCCGACCACCCAGCGTCAGGTCTGTGCCAGCCTCGCTGGCCAGCCGCTCCGCCGGCCCCGCCTCGAGGTCTGACAGCCTGGGATCGTCCCCCAGTGCGACTTCATCGCCCAGCAAGGCATCGCGGGCGGAGAGGGCGACCATGGCACCCCCGAGGTTGGGTCAGGCTGAAGCCTCCCACCCTGTCCCCAACATTCAAGAGGGAGATGGGGGCCTAGAGTCACGGAACCCTCGCGTGCCGCCTCCCCAGCGACCTGCGGCGCGAGCGCCAGCCTCGAGGTCCCAGCGGGGCCGCGGGAGGCTGGGCATCATGCGGGCCGGAATCCTGGAGGCCAGGCAGCCGGGAGGCGCGCTCGCTGGTGAGCCCACCGCAATGCAGTCCCGCTCGCAGGATCCTGCGCCTGCGGGCAACACTGCCTCGAGTGTGTCGGTGCGGACCGAGGCACGGCCCATGCGGCCTCCTGGGGCCGCCGAGGCGGGCCTGGCTGGAAAGGAGGGGCCTGCGAGGCAGCGCCCCACACTGCGCCCCACTGCGGCTCCCAGGAAGTCTCAGACTGATGTGAAGCCGAGCCCTGCCTCGTGCAGCGCCCCGGATGGGGAGCCCAGCGCCGGAAAGGGACCTGCAGGGCAGGTGGCTGGGGACGACGGGGCTGCTGCTGCTGAGGAGTCCCGGCCGCCCGCAGCCGGCGGCTGGGGCGGCTGGGGCGCACTCACCAAGCTGAAGGCCAGCGTGCAGCAGGTCGCCGCCACGGCGGTGGACGACGTCACGCAGCTCACCACCAGCTTCCAGCAGGTGTTGTGGGCCATTAGCTG